TTCTTAACAGCACATTTTTTAATTCCTAAAATCCCAAGTCGAAATTTTAGGCCTACTTTCGATCTCATTATATCATTTAACGTTTATTTTGATATTCTGAAGACTACATTAACCACTTTTGATTCCATTTAACCTAACTAACATTGAATGCCGTACGAGTTGAAGCCAAGAGACGTCGAACGGCGTCTTTTCACGTATGAACAGCTGCTTCAACGGCAGAAAAGGAAAGGTTTTTTGCATCATATCACGACTGGTGATGAAAGGTGGATATACTACGATAACCCTAAGCGTAGAAGATCGTAAGCCCGACATGCATCAACATAGTCGGCAAAGCCGAATATCCATGGTTCGAAGCTTCTGCTCTGCATTTGGTGGGATCAGCTGGGTGTAGTTTATTATGAGCTTTATCTAAAAGTCCTCTTTAGAATCTATAGGTGATATTTTGTGCTTTGTCTGCTATTTAGAGGTGTTAAATAGAATTTTACATTCTATGTATACATTATATGTATATTAAACATATATTCTGATTCAAGAATATACAGATGTTAGAAAGTTCAGGTCAAAAGTAGGACTAAAATCTCGTCTCGGAATGTAAGTAGCACCAATGACATAAAAAAGATAGTCAATTACGACAGAGTGTCGATCTATTCCTCGGTTACAGGATTCCGTAGTAATGTTTGCTATAAAATTCTGCCCATATATAATCTTGGTCTTTGAATACAAATATTTTATACGAGTCTTTAAAAACTAAAACAACAAGAATGTCCAGAGTTAGGCAGCAGTGTAAGAACAGTTGGAGACAAAAGTAATTATAATTTTAGTTGGACCAAACATTTTTTTCTCTCAGTATATTATACTTAGAGTTGTAAAATTACTGTCAGATTCAAAGTGACAATTACTTACGATAAAATTATGGTAAGATGACAATTTATTTATAATTTTTAAAATTTGTTATTTTTGGTAGTTTTATAAACATTTTTTCTTTAGTTACTACGTGTGTTGTATCTAGTTTTCTATATAATTACTATTTGTTACATACAGTATATCAATATATACACACACACACACAGTATCAAAATATTTCCTGGAAAATATGAGTTAAGTTTTTTAACAATCTTGAAAGCTAATGCTCCTTCTGAGTTGTATATAACAATTTCTGTGTTTCTTTACCTTTTTTCTAAGTTACCATTTTACCAGCTTGTCAAAATTACCGAGTAATTTACTGTAATTTGACGAGTAAGTCACCGTCACCGATTCGGTCATTTTCATCTCTGGTTGTTAACGTCCAGGTATTGGTACTTTTATCTTCACCTTGAAGGCATTAAATAACGGGTGGAAAGAAGCAAGAGAAAGAAGACGCAAGCGCGCGGGCATCGATGGTGCCCCTCCTCCGATAAGCGATTAATGCCCGATTTCACCAACGATGAAGCCTTAACCTGAATTGAAACTGTCTTCAGACAGGGATTTGGACTCGGCTTAAGATTGAATCGACCTTTAAGGACGTTAGCGGAATCGAATCTAGGGAAACAACACTCCTGAATTCCGCGTAGCAGACAGCGCACTGTCGCGCCTCTATCCTTAGATGGTCGTCGTTATGTAATTGCCGGGCGGCCGGCGGTGGTTTGCGGCAAAATTCCTAGGTCGATCCGATGTGTCCGACAATACTGGAGATCAATAACGACACGGCACGGCACGGCGCGCCACGCCACATCGTCGGCGATACCCCTTAATGCAAATCGTGCACGAAATGGTTACGTAACTCACGCTCCGACGTCATCTCGTTCGTCTCGACGTGGAGCGAAAACGGCAAATTGGGATTCCCAAATGTGTCACCTTTTTTTCTTTCCGCTTCTCGTCCGTTTCGCATCCCTACGACGAAGGAATTTGCGCTCGCGATCGCTGGAATGCGCTGCTTACTCGGACTCCTTGCGATTTAAATCGCACGTGCGACGTTACGGATGGTGAGTAAGTCGCGTTTCCGAGAACAAAAGAGATGATTAATAGGAACGTCATTGAACGCCTTTCTAATTCAAATTATCGCGGTATTTGTTTTCTATTTTTTTTTTTTTTTTAGTTCGTTGCTTCCTTCCAAGATCTGCGAGTAGTTCATTTCCGCGATAAACGGCGAGATAAATCTTATTTCGCCCTGAAAAAGAAGGACGAGTTGAATTCGCAAATGTGATGATCGACACATGAAGTAAATTAAATAGTGTCGCAAATAATTCACCTAAAAATGTATAATCTCATGCTTAGCGGAATCCTCTTATATATAACCTCAAGATAATCCTTCTGAGACTAAAAGGAAAATATTCTGAGCGTAATGTTATTCTTCTTCATTAAAAGAGAAATACTATTTCAGTAAAAGTATTCACTTAGAATAGAATAGGAAAAGTGTTTATTTAGGATTGCAGGAAATAATGCAATTACAGATTAGTTCTTTATGTTGAATGTTAGAATATCTTTCTTTTAGTTTCAAGGGAATCTTGAGGATTCATAACAAAGAAGATTTCGCTAAGAACGAAATTATATTTTCTAGGTACAGAATTAACGTGAGACAGCATTTGTCGGCCACATCGAGAAAATCATTGCGCAATTATTTGAGAACATTAATTCGCGAAAAATACTTCGAAGACAAAAAATCTCGATGCTACGTGGGAAAGTAAGAACGAAGGGAGACCGAGAAATTTGTAATCGAGAGAGAAGATTTATTTTGAATGTGCAGGAAGAAAATTCGCGCAAAATCACGTCGAGAATCGTGAAACACAGTATGATCCAGAATCTCCGCCTTGGGATCAATCGACGACCCAATTCGTCGCGCTTGCTCTCGATTCGAACGCCTGAAATTGATCCACGGAGAAACCCGTCTCTCTCTCTTTCTCTCTCTTTTGCTCTTTTCTGAATTACAATGATTATACCTGTGGTCTCTTTCTACATAATCCATGACGCAGAACAGGAAAACTGAGTTGCCTGGGGTTAGTGCCGCGTATTCGTGCGCATTCAGTTATCTACGTCGCGACTGTTACGTCAGATCCAATGTTGAATTCACTACCGATCATCGTAATTGGAGTCCTTCAAGAGCCTGGATACTTTCAACTTCTTACCGATCGGCCTATCTCTTTATTTGATCGAAAATGGCGAAACTGAGAATTATTTTTATTATCATATAAAGAGACTCCACAAAACTCTAGAGATTCTTTCACAGAAGAAATCGCTATTTTAAAATGGGAGATTTTAAAATGTGGAAAAAAATAATCTTTTAGAAATTAAGTGATCTATTATTTATGATCAATAGTATTACAAGTAATACTATAATAGTATTACAAATAATTATATGAGGTTTCTTTTAGAGATAAAATCGGGTTGAACCGAATACACACTCCTGATGAGTAAAACAAACGCCATTTTCGATCAAAAGTCATACGTGTCCAGATTCTTACTTGAGGGATAATTATAATACGTGCTCGCGTCGATCTTCTTGTCAAAATCGACCGCGATTAAACGTTAAATTTGTGCAATTTTTTTATTCTTAGTGTTGGTCGCGAGTGTTGTTCTCGGTCGCGGTAACACCGATTCGCGAGCCAATCGAGGATCGGTTAATTGAGTCAAAGCCGCTTGAAGAAAATGACAGACCCGCGCGCTTCGCAAAGGATGCACAACGCGATGTACGCGCGACACGTGCGTGTATCGCCGACACGGGTCTTTAAAACGCTTTTATCCCCTCCCGAAACGCGGTTCATCACTTGACCGCGTTGTTTGTCGCGTCGCAATCGCCCGCGATTTGATAAATAAAGCATTTTTTTTATTCTCTAAATTTCTTCAAGCGGAATTTCACTCGAAAAGCAGAGTGGCCGCCAAATCACTCGAATTCGAGCAATGTTTCGCTCATATTAATAGTCATTACTTGAAACTTGTCTCAAGTGAAATACTCAGAATTTGAATTTAGAGCCAGACGTGACGTGACCATTTTTTTTATCGCGATTGCAAAATAATGTAATGTCTCATATATAATATAATTCAAATAAAAAAACTCTTATCTAACTCTAAATTCAGATCTGAGTGTTTCACGTAGGACAAGTAATGCCACACTGTCATAGAAACACATTCACTCTAATCGATCGGAATATTCACTTATGTGGAGTAAGAATTCACTCTAAGTTTGAGTAAAACGCTCGCTCCTACGATTTTGAGTGGTAGTATTTTCGCTATCGCCTCGAGTGAAAATACTGTTACTCTTCGCTCGTTTTGAGCGAGCTCCCATTCCAAGATGTTTGGAAAGTTTCGCATCTGACACGATAGACCGTGAGAAACGTTTTGTCCGTTTCTGAATCGATTGTCCCGTCGGAAAACCTAGGTATCGATGGGCGTGATCGTTCTCGAATAGAAAAGCGAGATTCGTGATCGTTAAGCTCTTCCATCTGCTCTCTTCTTTTTTGATCGCGTCTTTTTAATACCTTCTTATGGATTTCTCTACTTGGCAAGATACGAGAAGAATAGATTTACAGCTTAAAGGGAGGAAGAAAAGCGCAAGAGATGGTGAAGAAAAGCGATTTTAAGTCTTATTCAGCCGGCGATCTGAGTCGGCTGACGCTTCGCTCTTATTCCCTACGTAGAACATGATTCTACCTGCGACGCATACACGGAGAGAGAATCCGAGACATTTTAACAAAGCAAACGGTCCAGGTTTAAACGGGGCTTAACTACTCTCGTATCAGTTCGTACGTTCGACTGGCATGCACGAGATCTGCAGAAATTAATCCTCCCATATATATACATATATATACATATATATACATATATATATATATATATATATATATATATATATATATATATATCACTACATTTCCTGTACTCAATAAAACTTATAGACTTTATTATTAATTAATGAAATTCATAAATTTGGTCACATCGATAAGATTCAGCGGGAGATAAACCAGAGAAAGAAATGTCACGAAGAGAAAAAGAAGCCTTTGAAGAGATCTTCAAAGAACATATCTTACCTTCATATTGTTCTCTACGACGTATTCGATGGAGCACATTTGGTACACCAAGTAGGCGCGTATCAGCTCCATAGTGGTTTTGCTCTTGAACGAGGCGATCGGGTCGTTAAACTTCAAATCGAGCGGGTCGATCTGTCGAGGCGGCGCCGGCGGCTGCTTGACGTCAGCGGCGGTGGTGGCGGCGCCGCCGGTGGCGTAGCAGCGCGTGTCACGCACCTGTGTAACCAACCGCAGGGACGGTGTCCTCGTCGCCGTTGCGTTCTCCAAGAGGCCGACGACGGGCATCGGCGACGCGCCGCATTTGGCCAGCTTTTTGCCGGCGCAGCATCGCCGCGACACGCTTCGCAAAAACGCCATTGCTTTTTGGCGCGGTCGCGCGCGCGTGTGCAAAGGGGAAAAGGGAGAAAAAAGAGAGAGCAAGACGAAGAGAGGGAGAGAATGCGGGGGAGGGAGAGTGCGGGAGAGAGAGAGAGAGAGAGAGAGAGAATTAGCGGACGAAAGAAATCGTCAGAGTGGCGTTTTCGCTGTATCGAGACGATATATCGCGTTCACTATAGTCTTCTCACCGAACTATCCTGTATCTCTTCTTCGGATAAGAATGGTAAAGGTAGATAGAGAGGCAGAAAGAGCACGAGAGGGCAGTGAAGGAGAGAGAGAGAGAGAGACAGAGAAAGAGGGAAAGACGATCGCGCGCGATGGATCAGCTCACCGACGACGATGCTCGGGGTGGTAAATAGTACCTGCCGCGGTCGAGTTGGGGAGTCCAATAGCTGAGAAGGCGGTTGCGGCGGCGACGTTGGTAGTGGTAGTAGCGGCCGCGGCGGTGGTGGTGGCGGTGGTGGTGGTGGTAGTGGCGGCAGCAACGGAGACGGCGGCAGCGGACAAGACTCTCTTCTCGGCGCGAAGCGCGAGGTATGGTGCTGCTGGTTTTCCCCTTTGCAGCACACACAGCGATGTGCGTCCAAAACGACGTATACGTGCATACACAGGAGCCGCGCGGCGCAACTGAGCCGATCGCTAGCGCGTCCTGCTAGCGCGTCGTCGTGACGCCGCGAGGTCGGTAGACGTAGAGACTCGACGAGAGGCGCGCGCGCACACAGCGAACGAGCGAACGAGCGAACGAGCGAGCGAACGAGCGAGCGAGTAACGTAACGGCAATGGCGGCCGACCGATCAGTTCCGTGCTTCTCTACCTCACCTCACGACGCGACGCGAATATTATTGATTTTCGCTCGCCGGGCGCCGCATCCGACACGGTGTCGTTGGAGCCGAGGCCACGGACGGCTTAAATGTAACGCGCCGCGTCGGAATACTCCGACCGTCGCCGACGCGCCTCGGTATGTACCGATTAACGCGCGCCGCCGCGTTTTTCGGCCACGGCGATTGGCCGCTCGCCGGAGGTGTGCGCCCGCGACTCGGCGTCGCATTGGTCCGTCGGAAACGCGGACGCATGCGCCCGCGCGATAGACACTAGTGTCACCAACAAAGTATTATTAAAGACCGCCAACCCTGGATGAATTTTTGAACTGGCTAAGAGGTCCGGAGGTAAATGAAGAAGGATAACTATTATCGATCATTTTTAGTTGTCCAATACAAATACCTGGATATTCAGTGTAACAAAGTTAATTTTATAATTCACAGCTGTGTTATGTATATAGACCCATTTTGAAGTGTATTCAATTTTTTAAACTATATTTCAGTGTAGTACTTCATCACAGTGTAGTATTTCATCACTCACACTAATGTTACATATTTTTATTGATAATTTTACCCACAAAAAATCATTAAGTAGCGAAATTTTTTAGTACAAAAGACACCGTAATGTTCGTGATTATCTCTTGACGATTAAAAAAGCTATTGGATTGATTAAAAGACAATTGTACACGCGAACATAGACGCAGTTACTAATGTGTAATACAGACATTAATATTACCTCGTCGGTGATAATATCCCTAACAGCAGAAATATCCAGGAGACGTCCAAAGTACATCCTGGGGACGTTTCTACGTCCTAAGGACATCCGTGAGACGTCCCCAGGAGATTTTGTGCTGTGTGGGATGCTTCGCACTTTAAATCGTTCCGCAGTTAAGACCGATTTACACTGCAAAAATGACAATGTTAGTGGCAAAATATGATTAATTTATTTTGCGACTTGTTGGGAATAATTGTTTTCAGCAATTTTAAATGGGACAATCTATATTTGCCAATAACCCTATTAGAAACATACGTTATAAGCAATGTTACTGTTGTTGTAAACCGGTCTTTATCTGTTGGAATTGACGTCTTGATCGTATTCATTCTTCCGCACAGTATATGAATCTGCATATGAATAAAGATATGAACTGTATAATATATACTTTTTAGAGCAGTCGATTCCCGCGATCATACTTCAAGAATTCGTTAAGACAATTTAAAGGTAGCATAGAAATCTAAGTTACCGATGGGGTAGAGGAAACCTAGATACAAAATTAAGAAGAAACAAATATGGTTGTAGGTGGCGCTTCGTATCTAATGAATTAGTGAGTGTAATGCACAATACCAGGGACTCTATTCCGTAACCACTTACCGACAATTGTCGGATCAGTAGATGCCGCAGCGCAGTTTTTTTATACCATAGAAAAGCTGCGCAACGACGTCTACCGATCCGACAATTGTCGATAAGTGGTTACGGAATAGAGCAACAGGCAATAGGAATAGACATTAGCCAATAGGAACAGGGAATAGAAATAATTGATTCGTATGTATTTGACCGGAAAAAAACTCCAGTTGGAAAACTATTCTTTTAAATCGTTTATATTTCGTATGAAGAGTTTTGAAGTGCAATTGAAAAGATTTGTGAGTCATTCTATTACTTGTAATTAATTGTTCTTTTTTGGACCATGTATTTAGCCGGAAATAATGACCGGAGGTAAATTAAACAAAGGGTCGGTATGGTATCGTTTGTATTTCGTATGAAAAGTTATGAAGTATCATTAAAAAGGTTTGTGAGTCATTCAGATAATTTTAATTAAATATTAAAAAATCATGTATTTGACCGAAATATCGATCTCAAGCGCTGCTGTGGAAGTACCGTCAGGCACGATCGATGTACTATCTAGTATTTCAATATTCCTGGTTCTTTTTCGGGTAATTATGTACAATAAGGCCTTTTTCGAATTTTGATATCTTTTTGCAACTCTTTTGGTAAAAATATTTATTTTGACTCCAATATTGATAATCAATCGGGGGAATCCGAAAAATATGCAAGTTATATATTGTTTTAACTTTTTTTTAATTTTTTTTTCACTTGTCGAACGTTGCTGCTTTCCCATAATTTAAACAAGTTACTAATCTTTTAATCGGTCGTTCGATATTGCAGTTACATAATGTGATTAAAAGATTAGTATATTGATATAATGTTTTTATGGGAGAGTGTGTGCTTCCCGCTTAAAGCGGGAATCAATTCCGATCGGAAACATTCTGTTATTTCCTAGATTTTTATTGTCTTCTAGAGGATACGGAATTGGAGCCAAAGCACAAGCACATCCGTAACATGTTACGTTACGTTAAGTACTGGGTACTTTCCAATTGCTTAATACATCTTGACACATACGTACACAAAACCAGTTTATTGGTCACATATTATCTAAAATATCTTGTATGATAATATGCACCCAATATGGTTTTGTGTAACACAGTATACACAACTGGAAAGTACCCACTGACAATACAGTGGCCATACCTGTACGTAAACTTAAACTTAAGTCAACGCACAAAGAAATCCGTAAACTTAACATGTTAGGGCCTTTGAGGTACCGTACACGAATTGACATAACAGTAACGTAAGACGTACCGTAAAAATTGACCAATCACTTTGAGTATCGTCGAACTGTAAGGTTGCCATTTTTGTGAATACTCGATTGCAATTGGTTCATTTTTACTGTTATTAATATAAATACTGTTATTAATTCGTGTGCGGCGCCCCTTTACATGTAGAAAAATTTTAACCGTAACCGTAAAGTCGTAAGAAAACTGACCAATCACAGTCGATTATTCCTCAAACGCAAGGAGAATAATCAACTCTGATTGGTCAGTTTTCTTACGACCTTATGGCTCCTGCACACAGCCGCGCGGCGGAAGTTCACTCGACAGCCAATCAATATGCTGCTTTCCCTAAAAACCTTCTAGCTCTTACGGAAAAACAACATATTAATTGGCTGTCGCACGGATTTCCGTCGCGCGGCAAGCATTACCGCGTCCTGTGTGCAGAAGCCATTACGGTTACGGTTAAAATTTTTCTACGTGCAAAGGCCCTTATGCAGGATTCACACTGCATCAGATGTCCGACTTACGACGTCCGATAGGAGAACAGCTTTCTAATATAGAATTCAATTCTCTATTGGAAAGCTATTCTTTTATTGGATATCGGACGTCGTACATCGGACATCGGATACGGTGTGAATCCTGCATTATGCGTCGTCTACAATGGCAATAGAAGTAGTAGTAAAAAATAAGCAGTAAGTAAATGGACCAATCACAATCGATAATTCTTGAATCGTGAGAATGGAATTGGTCAATTTGCTTACTGCTTATTTATTACTACTACTGCCATTGTAGACGAGGCATCAGTCCCGATCTACAATAGGTGTAGTAAGCTTTAAGCCGTAAGAAATTAACCAATCACGATTGATTATTCTTCTATAATTCGACTATGATTGGTCAATTTCTCAAAGTTTAAAGCTTACCACACCTATTGTAAATCGAGACTTAAGCCAGTGACACACGAGTTGCGTTCTTTTATTTGCACAGATGTAGCTGAATGGGTGGGACCCGATTGACCACGATATTATTGGACACAGATTGTAATGATTGGTTCGACCTAGTAATTCACTAGATAATTCTTTTCATCGGTTGGTTGTGTCCAATCGTACCGTGGTCAATCGGGGCGCTCCTTAGCTGAATGCATCTCGTGGATGCATCAAGATTGCACTTTTTAAGATTACTACTAGTGATGTACTGTCCTTAGAAAATAAATTTTTTTATTGGCTATTGGTTCGTCGTATATCCGTCATCGGGTCCCAATCAGTAATGTATCAGTATTGCTTTTATAAAAATTGTGAGAGAGAGAGAGAAAGAGGCAGTCTAATAATAATATCAAATAATATAAAAAATGTCATTAATTGAAATCGATTTAGTACATGGAACATGGAGAGTTATTAGAGGATAAAAAGTCCTCAGAGTTAATTTCAGATGCTGTTATTACAAATAAACCTCCAATAGCAATATCCCACATTTGCAATATCCGTCTACAACTCATTAATAAATTATTTTTCCATATTTTTTACTACAATTGTCCCAGCAAACACAAAATATAACTGT